TCACTCACTGTTTCTCTGTCTCTGTCTCTGTCTCTCTCTCTCTCTCTCTCTCTCTCTCTCTCTCTCTCTCTCTCTCTCTCTCTCTCTCTCTCTCTCTCGCTATCTATCTATCTATTTATCTATCTATGTATCTTTTTTCTTTCTTTCTTTCCACCGGCGTCTGTCTGTAGTTTAACCGTTAAACGTTTTGCACAATGTGATGATCCATCTTTTTTCATGATATCGCTGTAAATGTCGTTTGTCTTAATGTGGGGGTTTCAATATAAAAGGTTCTCTTACTTCAAACAAACACATGAAATCAAAAGAAAACAATTACTCATTCTGGAAACCAGGAATGAAGCTAAATCATCTGAAAAGACTATGAGTATGAGCTATACCAGAGTCGATAATGTTTACAATGATATCGTTGGACCTTATTCCTTTCCCTCTCAGGTTTCATAAATAGTTCACATGTCTACATACCTTGTTCTCTTTTCAATCTATCAAGAATTGTTAGAACACAAAAGAAAAAATTATTGAGATGGCAGAAATGGAAACTGTTCGTGTGGTGAGGAAAAGCGCAGGTGTACTTCAACTAGTAGATTGAGAGATCATACTACTAAATCAATGTTCTGGTTGCTATCTTTGTTGTCATTGTTAATATTTTAATATTTGTTTTTATTACTTATACTATTACCAATACTATTACTATTACAATTACTACTACCATAACGTGTGTGTGTGTGTGTGTGTGTGTGAACGACAAATGCTGTTTATCATTTTGTTCTCCTGAAATACAGCTGCGAAGGAATACACTGACATGACTGGATTTACTTTTAGAACTTATCTCCTTAGTATTTCTTTCTCAACAGAGTTTGAATCGCCCAGGAATCTCTCAAACTTTTGAAGAGTTTGCATTAACGATACTCGTAACATAAATAACGGGTTTGCAGAGTGGAAAATAAAGATCTGCTGAAAGAAAAGAAAACACCAAAAAAAACAATAACAACAAAGCAGAAGGGCCAAAAACTCAGCTGCAAAAGCATAATTACCGTCGACAAGGATTTTAAATTATTCTAAGCCCATAAAGTTCAATCGTTGAGGTGAGAGAACTCTAATGAAATATTTTACTTATTCTTTTTTCCCCCTTTTTAAAAAAGAATATTGTACCTACTTCGTTCATCTATTCTTGTTTTGCTTTGTTTTGTTTTGTTTTGGTTGTTTGTTTTTCTTCACTCCGCTATTATAATTTGAACATCAGCAAACTATTTATCCTTCACATACAACCAGTACAACAGATTAAGAAAAAGTAATGAAATTTTTTTCTCAATGTTTTGAGCTTAGTACAACTTGCAATATCATTATTTATCTAAATGATTTTCAAGCAATCTCTATCAATACTAGTTATATTAAATTTCTTTACACTATAATTGAGAAGAGATTAAAGAGAATACAAATTAAAATCAATCAACCAGTTGATATCGTGGTGTGTTCTAATCTCCCCCCACCCCCTTTTTCCCCAAATACACACTCAAGGGTCAATTGTTCTATTGCAATGTATTACAGTTGGTACTTATGACTACTCTATTCACGTAATACGTTATTTAGTTATATTTGCATGGTGGCTCACGAAAAAGATAAAAATAAACTTTTTCTCTCTCTGCCCCCCCCCTCTCTCTCTCTCT